CCCACGTGGAAGAAAAATTTTTAAATCTTCCCATCTATCTATTATCTATCTATCTTTTATCTACAAGTATTTCACACAAAAAAGGTATTGCATTAACACATGTTTTGCTATACACATGTTTATTCCCTTTGTATGTATTGGAACAAATATAAAACAGAGGCAGAAAAGCAAATATGACATAATGTCACACAAAACCCCAAAAATGGGCTGGACAAAAGTATTGGCACCCTAACTTAATATTTGGTTGCACACCCTTTGGAAAACATAACTGAAATCAGTCGCTTCCTATAACCATCAATAAGCTTCTGACACCTCTCACCCGGAATTTTGGACCACTCTTCCTTTGCAAACAGCTCCAGGTCTCTCTTATTAAGGACACCTTTTCCCAACAGCAATTTTAAGATCTCTCCACAGGTGTTCAATGGGATTTAGATCTGGGCTCATTGCTGGCCACTTCAGAACTCTCCAGCGCTTCTTTGCCATCCATTTCTGAGTGCTTTTTGACGTATGTTTGGGGTCATTGTCCTGCTGGAAGACCCAGGATCTTGGACGCAAACCCAGCTTTCTGACACTGGGCCCTACAGTGCGACCCAAAATCCTTTGGTAATCCTCAGATTTCATGATGCCTTGCACACAGTCAAGGCACCCATGCCAGAGGCAGCAAAACAACCCCAAAACATCATTGAACCTCCACCATATTTTACCGTAGGTACTGTGTTTTGTTCTTTGTAGGCCTCATTCCGTTTTCGGTAAACAGTAGAATGATGTGCTTTACCGAAAAGCTCTATCTTGGTCTCATCTGTCCACAAGACGTTTTCCCAGAAGGCTTTTGGCTTACTCAAGTACATTTTGGCAAACTGTAGTCTTGCTTTTTTTATGTCTCTGTGTCAGCAGTGGGGTCTCCTGGGTCTCCTGCCATAGCGTTTCATTTCATTTAAATGTCGACGGATAGTTCGCGCTGACACTGATGCTCCCTGAGCCTGCAGGACAGCTTGAATGTCTTTTTGGAACATGTTTGGGGCTGCTTATCCACCATCCGGACTATTCTGCGTTGCAATCTTTCATCAATTTTCCTCATCCGTCCACGACCAGGGAGATTAGCTACAGTGCCATGGGTTGCAAACTTCTTGATAATGTTGCGCACTGTGGACAAAGGCAAATCTAGTTCTCTGGAGATGGACTTGTAACCTTGAGATTGTTGATATTTTGCCACAATTTTGGTTCTCAGGTCCTCAGACAGTTCTCGTCTCCTCTTTCTGTTGTCCATGCTTAGTGTGGCACAGACAGACACACAATGCAAAGGTTAAGTGAACGTCTCTCCTTTTTATCTGCTTTCAGGTGTGATTTCTATATTGCCCACACCTGTTACTTGCCCCAGGTGAGTTTACAGGAGCATCACATGCTTGTAACATTCTTATTTATCCGCAGTTGTGAAAGGGTGCCAATACTTTTGTCCAGCCCATTTTTGGAGGTTTGTGTGACATTATGTCGAATTTGCTTTCTTTCCTCCCTTTTTTTGTTTTGTCCCAATACACACAAAGGGAATAAACATGTGTATAGCAAAACATGTGTTAATGCAATACGTTTCGTGAGAAATACATGATTTCCTGGAGAAATATCAAGGGTGCCAACAATTTCGGCCATGACTGTATCTATCTATCTATCTGTCTATCTATCTATTATCTATCTATCTATCTATTATCTATCTATCTATCTATCTATCTATCTATTATCCATCTATCTATCATCTATCTATCTATTATCTATCTATCTATCTATCTATTATCTATCTATCTATCTATCTATCTATTATCTATCTATCTATCTATCTATCTATCTAAAATCTATCTATCTATCTATCTATCTATCTATTATCTATCTATCTATTATCTATCTATCTATCTATCTATTATCTATCTATCTATCTATTATCTATCTATCTATCTATAATCTATCTATTATCTATCTATCTATTATCTATCTATCTGCTATCTATCTATCTATTATCTATCTATCTATCTATCTATCTATCTATCTATTATCTATCTATTATCTATCTATCTATTATCTATCTATTATCTATCTATCTATCTATCTATTATCTATCTATCTATCTATTATCTATCTATTATCTATCTATCTATCTATCTATCTATCTATCTATCTATCTATCTATCTATCTATCTATTATCTATCTATTATCTATCTATCTATTATCTATCTATCTATCTATCTATCTATCTATCTATTATCCATCTATCTATCATCTATCTATCTATTATCTATCTATTATCTATCTATTATCTATCTATCTATCTATCTATCTACTATCTATCTATCTATCTATTATCTATCTATCTATCTATTATCTATCTATCTATCTATTATCTATCTATCTATCTATCTATTATCTATCTATCTATCTATCTATCTATTATCTATCTATCTATCTATCTATCTATCTATCTATCTATCTATCTATCTATTATCTATCTATTAT